ATGTGACTGCCACGTTCTGTTTGAGGTGCGCGGAGATGACGCCAAATGGGATGCATTTGTGTCCTGGATGCGCGCTCCCGGTCTTCTACCCGAACTTTATCCCCAACGCGGAGGAGAAAGACTTCGAGAGATGCCACATTGTACCGGAGTGGGTGAGGACCATGGGACAGTTCAAGCCCAAGAGGATCCCCACCGAAGTGGTCGGAGTCATCAAGAGGAACTTGATTTCCTATTCAATGGCATCTGATCTGAGGATGACGGTGCAGAGCGGAATCAGACTGCCCCCTTATCTTGGTGAAGACAAGGGAGGAGTCGATGCGGCGTGGGATGAGCTGGCGAAGGTGCTCTTCCAATTCTCCTATGTGTCGGGGATTTCGGCATCGGATGCGTTCGTGGAGAAGTGGGTGGCGAAGCACCTGATTCTGACCAACCAAGTCGATAGATTTGATTCGGTCACGGAGTACTTCCGGGCTAACCCAAGGCACGCTGCTCAATGGGGTAGGCGTATGACGACTTCCGTTAGGAAGTTCGCTCGCCATGACACGTACTTGTCCTTCTATATTCCGATGGCATACGTGATTGGCTCCGCGGCTGGTCATCTGACCCCGTTGTATCCGACCCATCGAAAGGACGTGGACATCCTGGAAAGTCATGCGCTGATTTCGCAGCTCAGGCAGTACATGGTATCGGAGACAGGGTACGATGAGAAGAAGAGGTTGAAGGAGGCGATAGCCAAGGTGCAGAAGGCGATCAGCGCCGGACAGTCGGAGCCTCCCGCACCCTTCCGTGACCCGTTCGTCTACGTTAGTGACGAAAGGGTGAGGACGGTTCTTGATGGTCGTCAACCCGAACCATTGAACGTGGACATCGAGGGACTTCAATCGGTGCATCATGCTGCGCCGGGTCCTGGTCCCAAGCAGGAGCCGGTCACCAAGGGCGGAAAAGGAAAAGGGAAGAAGGGGGAAAAGGGCGGTAAGGGCGGTAGTCCTTCCGGCCCACCACCAAAGTCAGGTGAAGTGCCAGGTAAAGGATCTGGTAAGGGCGGTAGCCCATCTGTCCCAAAGGCGAAGGATGATGCTGGACCTGCTCCGATGGAGGTTGATACAGCAGCAGCTCAGCCGAAGAAGTCTTGGGCCGAGATGGTGGTTGAAGGGGCCAGGCCGAGTGCAAAGGCTAAAATGACCCCGGTTCCTAAGGCCGAGCCGAGAGGGAAGGCTGCTTCAGCATCTGAGGCGAAGAATGCTCCGGCTCCAAAAGCTGTGGCTAAGGAGACGAAGCAGGCCGAACCGAAGGTTGAGGTCAAGAAGGAGAAGATAGGCGGAGGTGACGCTCCTGGCGGTAGCCGCGGGATGAGACTGTGAAGGAGTCGACGAAGCGGGAGGCATCAACAAGGCCTGATGACGTCGACAGCAGACCAGGTGCGGCAGCGAGAGAGGCTAGTGGGGATGATCTTCACTCCGCGCTTGGCAGATCTTCGGCGAAGGACGCGGTAGCGCCCTTGACGGCCTCCAAGGCAATGGCAAAGAAGCCTGAAGGCGGTGAGATCAGGTTGCAGTCGGCTGAGCGAACTGCGGCGAGCCCGGTGGAGGGTCACTTCCTGGTGCTGCCTGGGAGTTCGGTGGTGGACGCTCTTTTGGCAGTCTCCACCAACAGAGTGCTGAACAAGCAAGTCAGGGATTTCATTAGAAATGGTGAGGACGCGTCAGCACTGGAGGCTCTCAACCAGATCGTGACGAACTCTCGCTCTGGAAGGAGGCGTAGGGAATCGGATGTCTCCCGTACTCCTTCTCGGAGGTCCGTTAGGACCGTGGATACCAGGGATTCCAGGGAGTCAAGGAGGCGCAGATACCGTCCACGGCGCGAGGATGATCGAGACCGGAGGAGGGACGATGCTCGTGATCGTCGTGATGATGAATCACTCGATCGGGAGCGAGATCGAAGGCGAGATGATCGCAGGAGATCCGAGAGGGATCGTGATAGGGACCGTGCGCGGGGCGGACGTGACCGGAGGAGACGTGACGATAGCCGGTAGGCTGAGTCACGAGGATTGCGGCCGATAGGCTTGCGTCCATTCTCCAATGGTCGGCGCGGTGCGGAGGTGGTGATGTTCCTCCCGGACCGCTGAGGCGCGGAGGTCATGTCTCTCCCATACCGCTGCTGGGCTGCTGGACGTGTTCATCAGGGAGCAGTGTGAGTGAGAGGGAAAGCAAACTGATGGGGGGTTACTCCCGGGTTTGAAGAATTCAAGCATTTTTATTCAGGTACGCATGGTCAGGAGTACCTCTTACCGTTAGGCGAGGGTACTAATGGACATACGTTATCTCTTGTTTCATGGCTTCTGATAAGAATTAAACTTCTTGCATTGTTGATGCAAACAGTTGTGACCTAGTGTCGTCATGTGGACTTTTCCACAAGGTTTGTTGGACAGCGTTACCCCGATTAATTCGGGGTGGTGGCGGGAATTTAATGCCCGGGATGTCGCGCAACTGCCTTTGTGGGTTTGCTCCACCGCTGACGGCGGTAGTGTCCAGCTGTTTGCGGACGCATGCGAGCAGTTAAATCCTATCAGTAAATGGCACGCTCCACCCGTCATATGACGGGCTCCTCGTGAGGGGGGTGTGATTAGCCATGGTTCATATCATCATCAGGGACGTCGCGTTAGTGACCGACCTGTGGTGTTTTGGCTCAAGTTTTGGATCCGGCGCGCCTCGGATGAGCGTCGCCGGGCCCTCACGTCGACCGCCTTCGTGTCGGAGGAGAAAGAGACTTCGGCCCGGGGTAGGTTGGTGGGGATCGCCCGTGCGGTTCATCGTCGATCTAGGTTGCGGGTATCCTTTTCTTGGTTTGGTTTGTTTTCCTTTGGTTGTTGTTCTCTGGTGTGTGGGAAACCCTGATCTTTGGGACCGGGGATTGGTTTGCTTTTGGGGAACCTTTCTTTTGTGGCTTGTTTACCCCAACTTACCCATTGCCTGGGCACAGGCTCGTGCCCGAATCACACTCTTCATCCTCCTTGCTGCGACTCCTCTCTGCGAAGCGCTTGTGCATGACCGCCTCCACCCACAGCTGCTCCTTCTTCACCTCCTCGACGAAGTCATCTGTGATCTCCTTGGTTCCACCCTTGTGAAGACCATATAGACGTTTGCCCTCCTCGGTGAGATATTCCGCGTTGATCTCCCACAGACGCGGCACTGCCTCGGTGTTGATGCCCGCCTTCCTGTAGTAGACGTGAGTCTTCGCATTGAGCAAGATGCAAGTTCTCTTGAAGACAGCATCCATGTGGGCGAGAGTGGCACTTTCCACAATGCTGGGGCGCATGAGCTTGAAGAAAGTCTCGAAGCTGACGGTGTTGGCATACGCAGGTTCCTCGGAAACACCATCATGATAGGTGTTATCTGCGACGGCACGAGGTTCGTTTTGAACCCATTTTGTCGCACCCCATACACATGCTCTCATAGAGCCCGACATCCAGGAATGCCTTGAGCAACTTCATCGGGAGCATGTGCAAGGATGTGTCATCCAGGAAATCGCCCATGAGCACGGACCCCTGTTCGCCACGAAGAAAGTCAATCTCCGGCGTAGAGCGGATACAAGGCTGACCCGACAAGTTGAAGCGCGCCTTGTTGTGGCGCACCTGTGCCATCAGGACGCTCCTACCCAACGGGCTCTTTCCCGCGCCCGCCTCCCCCAGCATGGTGAAGGCTGAGAGATCGAAGTCCCATATCTCCTCCATGATCTCCAAGAGCCAGGAATGGTAATACTTGGTCGTCAAGGGGATGGGCCAATCGAACTCCTTGCGGGCCAAAGCGCCATCCGAAGCCAAGTTCCGAAGAGCGCGGTCAACCAAGGCCTGACTTCACGATGGCGTTGCTCGACAGCTCCGCACACTTGAACTGCCGACCACCCATGGTCTCAATGCAGTACTGCACGATCTTTCTGCCGAGCTTGGGCTCCTGCATCCAGATGGCGCGCTTGGCAACTCCGAAGCCGAGCTTCATGAAGAGAGGGGCCTTGCATTTCTGGTAGAAGATGAAGTGCTTCCAAATGGTATAAGATCCATCCAATGCTTTCAGGATGACCATCTGGAGTTTTACATCCTTGCCCACTTTCTTCTGCAAGCCGAAGGGTGCAGAAATAAGGTCCAGATCTTCATCTTCAATGGCTCGCTTGTACTCGCGCTCCAACACGGTAAAGTCAATCTCCTTGCGGTAGTTGAAGATGACATCGAAGAGGTGCACGCTCGCGTTGTCTGTGTGGAGCAAGTCCGCACAGGGGAAGTTGACCGGGTTGAAAGAGCCAGGCGGTTGCTCTGGCAAGGTAATAAGTGGAGTTCCTGCAAACCATGCCATCGAGCACCTCCCTGAGATGGTCCACGGTCATATCCTCCGCCTCGAGAGCCATGACTACTTGAAAGAAGAGGGAATGAGCTGAGACTTACTACCAGAAGAGGGAAAAGTAGATGCAGATCCAGACGCAGCATGGAGCAAGAAGTGCAACAGAGGAAAACACTCCGGGAAACCCAAAAAACCAAAACAACAAAAAACCAACAAAAACCAATCCTGAGAGGGAAATGACAGGAGGTGGCTTGCCTGAGCGTTTGTCTGCCAGATTGGTTTTTTGGTCTTTTTGGTTTTTGTTTTTTTTTGTTTTTTTTTGGGGCTTTTTCGGGTTTCCTCGAAGAAAGCCCCAAACAACAGTCATGAGGGGGAAATAAAAGGAGGTGACTTACCTGAGCTTGTCTGTTTTTTCGGTTTTCCACGATTTGTTTTGTTGTTTTTTGTATTTTTTCTGTTTTTTAAATGATTTTACTGTACTTCAAAAACGCAGGCCCCATGGCGGCCCCTTCTGTTATTTAATAGGGGGGGTGCTTTTCACCCTGGGTTTAGTGGGGAATCAGACCACTTTTAGAGGGGAACACTCCTGTATGAATGAACTGGGGGTGATTAATTTGGGTCAACATGAACTGCCGTGTATTGTGCAGCTCGGCCATCACAGATATTGAGGTTGAGCAGCTCGCAGATGGGCGAGTACTTCAAGATCAAGTCCGTACAAGGGCAGACCACTGGCAACAAGGCTCGCTAAGTCCATGGACAAACTCACATGTAGGGCAGGATGCTGCAGTAAGGGTTGTATCAAAGACTTGCGTGCGAAATGCCGTTGTACAGAAGTGCGTGGTTGTGCCCCAACTCTCCACGGCATGAAGCAGACCGTGGTGGCGTTTACATTTACATTTTTTGCCCCGATCAGATTGCTGCTGCAGGTCGTGGTTGGGCTGCCCAGCGTGGGCGAGCCTGCCAAGGCAAGGGCAAGCGCCAATCAACACCCTCCTTGACTGCACATCATAATCATAATCACCTGTAAAATTTGTGCGCTTAGTTGTTCGAGGCTAAGGTGCACGGTGCGGGGGCAGCGATTTTTCTTCCTTTTTCCCCCCTTTTTTCTTCCTTTTTTTTTGCGCGCAATTTGAAAGTAGGAGGAGGGACATTATTGTTGAACATGCACCGCGCCACAAGTGTTAAGCTTGGTGGCTTGCTATGAACTGTTTCAGTTTCCGCCTGCGTTGCTGCAGCTTGTGAAGCTCCAGTGATACGTGGGCACACCTTTCTGCGGAGCTCTCGTGAACCTTCCACACACCTTCCGCGAAATACGCGAGTTGTATTGGTCCTCTTGGCCCGCTGTTGGCAGCTTCTCTTCTAGTAAGCGGTGCGTTCTACTGTAATCGTTTCCCCGTGATTTTACGTGCAAATAAAATTGCATTCTGTACTTACTTAAGCTGACTTTTCTTTCTGCACCGAAACTCGCGGAGGCAAATCCGGCAAGGATGCGGAAGGGTCCGCCGAAGTTTCCAATCAAGCTTGAAAGGAATGAACACCACCGCTCTACTGTTTTCGGCTCCATACTGGGAGGCCAGGGCATTGAGCGGAGAATTGTGAGCAGCGAGCTCTGAACGGCACTTGGGCCTTTCTTCGGTGGGCACATCGCTTGTAGGTTTGCAGGAAAGCGCCTGTTTAGCTGGCTTGCACGCCCAGAGGGTGCAAGTCAAAGCAAGCGCCAGGGAGCAGTGTGTCGGGCCGTGGCGAGCTGGAATCGGCGAAGCGAAAAAGCTTTTGGGCGTCAAGTGAGTCCAGTTGAATGCAGCTCTCAACGCTAAATTCAGAGGGCAGAGATCTTTGATCAGCCCATTCGACTTGTTTTAGTGGAGCCAAGGTGCAAGGTTTTTTTTTCTCCCCCTCGGGGGAGCCGCAGCAGTCGATGGCATTCAGATTTGTTTGTGTTTTTTGGCCGCAGCTTGCCTTGGGGCTCGGGAACCCCATGCTGCCATGCGAGCGTGGCCATGGTCAGGCATTGCGACAGGCAATGCGATCTATAGGAGAAGCCTCGAGCTTTGAAATCCCTGCTGCAATTTGCTGGTGGACAGGCATTCTGCTCCTGTGGGCCAATGGTGCTGCAGCTGCGAGCTTAGTTGAAACGACATCCAGGGTACGTGCCCCAGGAACCGGTTTGAAAGTAGGACCTTAGAGTGGAATGGGTGTGGCTGGCGTAGGCTGGCGATGGGATGCCATGGGTGAGGGGTTGGTGATATGTGGGGAGATGGGGGGCATAGGCAGGTTGGTGGCCGTATGTGAGTAAACGTTCAGCGAGCTCTGAAACCTAAACTGGAAGCCCTGAGCCCAAAACTCAATGCTGGGCCCGAGCTCAAAATCTACATCAAAAGCCTTATATAAGCCAACCACCTTAAAGCATATGCCCTGATCTCCGCCATAGAGCTTCAGAATACTACTTGATTTGGAAGGCGTCCGTGACCTGAGTCCCTTATGGATGGTCTGTGACCCGAGTTCCTTGTGGATGGTCATGCCTGGCAATGGCCAATTGCAGTGGATGGCTATGGGTTGCAGATGGCCACGGCCTGCTATCAGACTAAGAGCCATGGATGCGAACAGGTGGCGGATGACAAGATGCTAGATGTGGCTGGGCGCATGTGAACTGAGGCGAAGATGGTCATGGGCATCGCTGACGGCGAAGACTTCCAGCTGGTGCGGAGACCAAACCTTCTCCTTGTCAAATTCCGAGAACAGAATCACATTCTCTTTGGGCAGTTGCTTGGTGCTGTCTTTTGCGGGTTGCTTCTTTGGCTGCCGCAAGGTCTCCACGTTTTGTTTCCAGTTTCCAGCTGCAGTTCCAGGCCTGCTTAGTACACCTCACAGCCTCATGGCGCACTTATAGGCTTTGCTGCCCCGCACGGCTATGCAGGACAACTCATGCCCAATGGCCACATCCACTCGCAGACCATTGCCAGGAGCTTGAGAATGAGCCGCCACAATCTGCCACGGTTGCCAAGCGGCTTTGAGAGCGAAGGTGAGCACGCTTTGCTCATGTCTGTATTGTCCATTTCCAACCCTCCATTGTCCCTTCCCATCCGGCCGCTTCAAAATCAGCAATCAGGGCCAACTAGTGTAGGTGCCACTTGTCCAAAGGTCTCAGCAGATGGCCACAAGTTTTTGGTGGTCAACTACTCGGACATCACGCAAGGCTGATGAACTGTCGCGACAGGTTCCAGGGTCACTGTTGCGGACATCAAGCGTAGCGTGCAGGCATGTCTTGCGACCAGCTCGTCAAGCGAGCAAAGGTGATAGAGCTGCGAACTTGGGCTACATGAAGCGCAGTTGAGCATGGTTGAGGTGTGCTGTGCCAAGGCCATTGGTGGAAAAGACAAAGGAAGTCGTAGCATATGACTTGACATTGAATGTGGTGAGCCCAGCTGTCCCGGCATCTCCCATCTTCGTGAAGGTGCCCCTTGTCAAAGCTGCAGGTTGAGCCATCCATGGCCAGCGTCCTAGCTGTCTAAGCTGGAGCCAACCACGGCTGTTGGATGACTTTAGCTTTGCCACAAGCCCCACAGCCAATCCAACCGGCACAGTTCAGCCAGACCCAAACGCCTACAGGGCAGACAGCAACTCACTATGCATCAAGGATGGCCAGCACATTGCAGCAGTCATCGCCCGTTGTGGCCAGAAGATCAATGCGGAGTGCCCCATGGAGCATCACAGAGCAGTGATGTGACACTATTCTTTGTGAAGTTTGAAAGCTGCTTGCAATTTGTGTGTTGAAGCCTGAAAGCATGGTGGGTTCTTGCGCTGCTCCTCGCCTTGCAGCCACACAAATACAGATAATGCACAGCTTGGCATGCTGGCATGGCAATCTCATGGTCAATGTCATGTGATGCCATTCCCCGTCACCACCACGGAAAGTGAGTGCCTGAAGTTGCAAGCTGTTGCCCGCCAAAGATGTTGCAAGCTGTTGCCCGCCAAAGATGTTGCAAGCTGTTGCCCGCCAAAGACGATGGATCGCCAACGCTTTCGTTAGCCATGGCGTGCTCTGCGTGTGGCAATCTCCAGGCGAGTCGCTGCAGTCTGAGGGGATGGCATCTCTCAACTCTCGCAAAGTGCCTCTGAAGTACTAAATGCGTCGAGACTGAACTTGCCAGCGGCGTCAGCCTCAGCCACAGCAGAGTTGAAAGAGCCAAGCATGAGGGCCATGCATCTCTGCAACAGAAGCTGACACTCAATGACAAACAATTTGGCATGTCCTTTAGACGTAGATCACGCAGCAGGAGGCTAACAGGCAACAACAGACTGAGAGACATCCACATTGGCGCTCGGGTGCAGATGTGAGCTGCAGCCTCGCATTGGCCTCAACTTTGAAGTGGCGGTGGCACGAGAAGGTTCTCGGTGGGCCGAGGCAAGCCCGAGATGACAGCGCCCATGTCGGTGGCAGAGGCGCGGGCAACTATGTTCGGCAATGGTTCTTTTTTGTTTTTGCTTTGGGGGGGGGCAGATGAAGATAGGGTGGGGAAAGGATATGAACGAAATCAGCGGCTTGAATTGTTTTTCTTCTGTTGATCGCTGGCATCCTTCCCATCCCCCCTCTGTTTCACATCCGCTCCTTTCCATTGTGAGTGGTAGAGATGGAGAAACTGGCAGAGCCAACAAATCACCAATGCTGTGCCGTTTGCCCTTGAGTTGAGGTTTGATCATTTGCCCCTTGGGCCGAAGAAAGCAACACTGGCTGATCCTTCCAGCAATGGAGGGTAGAACACATGCCAAGGCAAATTTCTACACACACACACACGCGCACATTCTCTCTCTCTCTCTCTCTCTATCTCTCTCTCTCTCTCTCTCTTTCCCTCTCCCTCCTTCCTGGAGGATGTACAAAACGAGAAAGGGATGGGAAAGTGACGGAGACCGTTCCTATGTACTCACGGTCTAATCCTGGATCACTTCCTTCTTGTCACTTTCTCTTACGCACTGCGCTTCTTATGTTTCCTTTCCGGCCGTAAAAAGTGAAGGGGCTGGAAGAGAGAAGTGTGTGGGATCGCTTGTAGACAGGACCAACTGATTGAATGAGCAGGACTGCAGTTGCCAGACATGAAGCGTGCTTGCAAGCTTAAGTTTTCTTGACTTCACTTGGCCACGCTGGACTTCTCTGTACTCGAACGAACCGGACATGACATATCTTGGCTTCACTTGAAGTTCTTTGACGTTGCTGAACCTGACTTGGCTTGATTTGAGTTTGACTCGGCTTTTCTCACTTTGGCCAAGTTTGTAGTTTGCTCCATTTGCTTTCCTTTGCCTTTGCTTCGTTCTTGCTGTGCTGAATACTTACTGTACCCTTCCTGACGCAGCTGGCCTTACTCAGTTGCTCGGCTCCAGTGCGAGCATTGCAAACATTCGAAGCCAACTTTGTTGCCCAAATGGGACGTGGGACACCCCCCATACCACGCCTCATTGCCACAATGCCCCTTATAATGGGAGTACGGGGGGGGGGGCCCTCCAGGAGGGAGGCCTGAATTTGCAGCAAAAAGTGCTTTATGCATTGAAGGCGCAGAGGGTTACGCCGAAAATTGGCCCAAAGACACGGGGACACGACGAAGATTCGCATCTTCAGGGCGTCAGGCGAAGACACGAAGACGCGCGTCTTCAGGGCTTCAGTCTACAGGAAGTAAAAATAGATCGGGCGAACACATGAAGACATGAAGACGCGCATCTTCAGGGCTTCAGGGCTTTAGGGAGTCATCAGGGCTTGGGCGGAGACACGAAGAGCGAAGAGGAAAACCGCGCTAATCTTCGACCTTGTGAAAACTGCTGTAGCACATCTGTAGCACAGCAGCACCCTCTTGCTCAGCTGAAGGGGCATGAAGGAACGTAGTCTTATCTGCCAAACAGAGCCATCACAGCTATGCGTCGCGATCAAAAAACCATCCGGGTGTCCCTATGTACACACATTGAATGCGACGGGCCTGGCTCTCGAATGACAAGTGACTGTGAGCAAAAGGCCATAGCCGCCAGGACAAAGGCAAACCTGAGGTTCACTGAGAGGAAATAGGAGGCGTAGGTTCAGCGCGCAGCTAAATCCAGACCGTCCAGACTTACGAGCGCTCAGGAGCTGAGACCATGGAAGCCAAAACAAGAAAGCGGCCATCCCAAAAGGCCAAAGGCCCCCTCCCGAAGACATGAAGACGTGCATCTTCAGGTCTCCAAGGCGTCAGGCTAAAAACGTGTCCTGGCACGCCTGCGCTGGCTTTATGGTCGCAGAGTTCTGGCTCCGCGCCCTCCCGCGCTTGCCTACTTGACAAAGCTAGCTTTCAGGGCCCGCTGCAACCCACCACTTCGAAGACCAATGGAAGATCATATTTTGGTACGTGAGTTCCATGCCACGGCTGTTCTGGCTAAACTTCCTCTGCTTTTGGCCGCCAGTCACTGTCAGGCTATTGCCGCTACACGCGGGCGTTTACACAGCGTGGCTTCAGTGGCTGCCTGGGCTGCTGAGGCCGGCTGATCGTATTGATGTTTCTCGAAGCGGCGCACCCCTTTTTGTGAGTGGTTTTAGAGGAAAACCCAAAGGAAGCCAACTTTTTCGGGGACAACCATTTGGAGAACCCCCCCTTATGACTGACGTCTTTTGACACGCGTCAACGTTGCTCATGGCTGCTGTCAGCTAGTCAGCTAGTCAGCTGGCTGGCGCAACTGGAGAGGCACCCAAAGCTGCAGCAGCGCTGAGGGGAAAGAGTTTGGCGAGGGCCTTGGAGATGAGCTGGCTGATGTGCTCGATGTATCAGCAAACAATGAAAGCGGACGCTTTGCCAAGGTCTACTTCAACGGCGCTTTTTCGCCCCCAACGTGCTGCACCTAGTAGGGGGAGGGAACAGGACTCGAGGACCTTTCAAAGATCGCAGGGAGGCCGTTCTGCACTTCACAAAGCCGCAAAGGCAGTTACAATG